GACATAATGCACTAGGTAAAAGGAACTCTAGTAAATTAAGACTTTAATGGTGCAGCTGTAAGGTGTGGGGTAGGGGAAGAATTCTCTAGTCCTATGATTAGGTCTCAGTCCTTTAGTGACCTCTATCTATGGACTGTAAACTTTACAAATGTTTTTCAGTTTTTTTTCCCCCTTAGATAGGACAGGATGACTAGAGGAGGCTAGAGTTGGATGTTTTCCTTCCCCAGGTGATTTAGGGTCTGGTAAAACCCCAGCAGGTTACTCTGGTAAATAGTTTCTTCTGGAGGCAGGCCTTTTTAACAACACAGTGTTCTGGTGTACAAAATGGTTTCTATCCCCTTCCCTCTGCTGGAAGTTCAAGAGGATCTTTCTCAGATATTCATTGTGAGGACCTTATTGGGCTCCTGGAGATAAAACTCACAGAAGTGTAGGGACCTCACTATGACTGGGGTCCCCTTTAACTTTTTAAGCCTCAGACTTGTCCATACTGAGCCTCCAGCAATTTGCCAATTATAGTTTAGATTTTCCTACTTTGGCACTGATTCCTGTAGAGGTTTCTGCTCATGCATTTATGGTCTGGTAAGTCAAGATTCTCTGTATTCACCTATCTGTCTCTCCAGTTATGGGGATAGAAGTTTGCCCTGTTACTTCACTCCTCTGATGAATCTAAGAAAAGTTGTTGGTTTTTCAGTTTGTTCAGGTTTTTAGATGTTGTTAGGGTTCAGTGGCAACTTCTAAGGTAGACTAGAAACTGAAGTCTTGTGTCTTAGTTTTTACATTAATCATTCTTCTGTAGGACCAGTCAGGGCTACATTTTTTAAAAACAACTATCAGCAGAAATAGTGTGTGGACAGCCATCAGTTCTATATTTTCTTATTACAGGGCTCATAACATTTGCTGCTATTCAAGTAAAAGTAACTGATGCTACCTGGAAATATATTAGTTATATTTGGGGTGAAGAATATGAAGCATGATGAGGACTTTCATGTGTTGAAATCCTCTGTTCATTTGCAAAAATTTGGCCTCTGTGCTTTTGTGTCTATATGGCCAACTAGAACCTAAAGTTTCTCTTTAAGAAGCTTTTTATACATGTCAATTTATTTTTTCCTTTTTTATTATCTTACATTTTATTGTTTATTCCATTACCACTTTATCACTCTTATATTCCTCTCCCACATCCCCTGCAATTACCACATTGTTGATCATGTCCATGAGTCATTTTTCCTTTTTGCTTAATCTCTTCAACCCCTAAACTCCCCCCATAGCTGTCATCTGTTCTCCATCTATGGTTCTGTCTCTATTTTGCTTGTTAGTTCCACTTGTTCATAAGATTGCTCATATGAGTGAAATCAAATGGTAATTGTCTTTCTCTGACTGGCTTATTTCACTTACAGTAATGTTAACCATGTCATCCATGCTGTCACAAAGAGTAAAATTTTATTCTATTTTACAACTGAGTAGTATTGCATTATGTAAATGTCCCATAGTTGTTTTGTCCACTCATCTACTGATGGACAATTGAGTTGCTTCTATATCTTAGCCATTGTAAATAACTGCAATGAACACAAGGGTGGTTATGTTCTTGACTTAGTATCTCAGGTTTCTTTGGATATATTCCCAAAAATAGGATTGCTGGGTCAAAGGGTATTTCCATTTTTAATTTTCTGAAGTATCTTCATACTGCTCTCCACAGTGGCTCTACCAGTTTGCATTCCTACCAACAGTGCACAAGGGTTCCCCTTTCTCCACATCCTCACCAGCACTTCATTGTTGGTTTCTGGATAATAGCCATTGGTTTCTGAATAGCCATTCAGACAGTTGTGAGATGGTATCTCACTGTAGTTTTATTTTGCATTTATCTGATGGTTAATGACATTAAGCACCTTTCATAAGTCTATTTGCCATCTGTATGGCCTCTTTGAAGAAGTTCCTGTTCAGGTCATTTGCCCATTTTTAAATTGGATTGTTTGTGGGTTTTGATGTTGAGTTGCATGAGTTCTTTATAACAAACTATAGAAATGATCCCTGAAAGTATAGTCTTAGCTCTTTATAATTTATCAGTTGTATCAGTGAATAATATCTCCCATTCTGTGGGTTGTCTTTTTATTATTTTATTTATTTATTTATTTATTTATTTATTTATTTATTTATTTATTTATTTATTTTGGTGTTTTTCTTTGCTGCGCAAAAACTTTTTCATTTGATGTAGCCCAATTTATTTTTCTTTTATTTCCCTTGCCTGAGGAGATATATCAGATAAAGTATTTCTGCAAGCAATGTCCAAAATTTTAATGCCTATGTTTTCTTCTATGATTTTGATAGTTTCAGATCTAACATTTAAGTCTTTGATCTACTTTGAATTTATTCTTGTGTGTGGTATAAGAAAGCAGTCTTGTTTCATTTTTCTGCATGTATCCATCCAATTTTCCCAGCATCATTTATTGAATAAATTTTCTTTAGTCCATTGGATATGCTTGTTTCCTCTGTTGAGTATTAATTGACTATAAAGGTGTGAGTTTACTTCTGGGTCCTCTATTCTGTTCCATTAAACATTTTAACATATTTCTGTGAAATACGTCATTGTTATCTTGATAGGAATTGCGTTGAATCTATAGATTGCTTTGGGTAGGATGGACATTTTAATGCTATTAATTCTTTCTATCCATGAACACAGTATGTGCTTTTATTTATTTGTATCTTCTTCAATTTTTTTCTTCAGTCTTATAATTTTCCAAGTACAGGTCTTTTACATTCTTGGTTAGTTTTATTCCTAGGTATTGTATTCTTTTTGAAGCAATTGTGGGTGGGATTGCTTTTTTTTTAATCTCCCTTTCTTGTAGTTCATTATTGGCATATAAAAATGCCACTGACTTCTGGTTATTAATTTCATATCCTGCTACTTTATTGCATTCATTTATCAGTTATAGTAGTTTCTGGTGGAAACTTTGGCTTTTTCTATATACACATACATGTCAGTTTTAAAAAACAAGTTTTCTCTTCTTTTCTTTTTGTAATCTGAAGGATCCAGTTTATTTTTTTCAAGTATATTTTATTGATTATGCCATTACAGTTGTCCCATTTTTTCTCGCCTTTATCCCCCTCTGCCCTGCACCCTGCTGCCTGCAGCAGTCCCCCCAACTTAGTTCATGTCTTTGGATCATACATATAAGCTTTTTGGCTTCTCCATTTTCTGTACTATTCTTAACCTTCCCCTTTCTATTGTGTACCTACCATTTATACTCCTTATTCCCTGTACCTTCCCCCCACTATTCTCCCTCTCCCACTCCCTGCTGATAATCGTCCATATGATCTCCGTTTCTGTGATTCTGTTCCCGTTCTACTTGTTTGCTTTGTTTTTGTTTTTTACATTCAGTTGTTGATAATTGTGGGTTTGTTTTCATTTTGTTGTTCATCGTTTTTGATCTTCTATCTCATAGATAAGTCCCTGTAATATTTCATATAATAAGGGCTTGGTGATGATGAACTTTAATTTGACCTCATTTGGGAAGCACTTTATCTGCCCTTCCATTCTAAATGATAGCTTTGCTGGATAGAATAATCTTGGATGTAGGTCCTTGCCTTTCATGACTTCAAGTACTTTTTTCCAGCCGCTTTTTGCCTGTAAGGTTTCTTTTGAGAAATCAGCTGATAGTCTGATGGGAACTCCTTTGTAAGTAACTCTCTCCTTTCTTCCTGCGGCTTTTAAGATTCTCTCTTTATCTTTAATCTTGGTTACCTTAATGATGTGTCTCGGTGTGGTCCTCCTTGGGTCCAATTTCTTTGGGACTCTCTGGGCTTCCTGGACTTCCTAGAAGTCTATTTCCTTTCCCAAATTGGGGAAGTTTTCCCTCATTACTTGTGCAAATAAGTTTTTAAAATCTTACTCTTCCTGTTCTCCTTGTGACAACCCCAATGATTCAGATGTTGGAATGCTTAAAGTTGTCCCAGAGGTTCTTAAGCCTCTCCCTTTTTTTTTTTCCCCCAATTCTTGTTTCTTCATTCTGTTCTGGTTGGATGTTTATTTCTTCATTTTGTTCCAAATTGTTGATTTGAGTCCAGGTTTCCTTCTCTTCACTGTTGATTCCCTGTATGTTTTCCCTTACTTCACTTTTGGGTAGCCTTCATTCCTTCCTTCATTTTGTGACTGAGCTCAATCAATTCTTTGAGCATTGTGATTACCAGTGTTTTGAAGTTTGAATCAGATTGGTTGTCTCTCTCCTCATTGCTTAGTTTTTTTTTCTGAAGTTTTGATCTGTTCTTTCACTTGAGCCACATTTCTTTGTCTCAGCACACCTATTTCATTGTAGGGGGCAGTGCCTTAGATATTCACCAGGGCAGAGCAACCATCTTTGCTGTGTTGTGGTTCTATCTGTGGAAGAGGGGTCAGAGAGGGAACAGTGCTGCTTGTTGGCTTTCACCCCACTTTCCATCACTTCCCTTGCTTCCCACAAGCACATTGTGCCCTGTCAGGTGCTGATTTGCAGGTGGATGGGTTTGTGTATGTTCTAGCACCTCTGTGGGCCCCTCCAACAGACTCTCCTAAGAGACTGGGAGTTTTCCCATTTCTGCAACCCCCATAGATTTTTTTACAGCCAGAGGTTTTGAATCTCTAGTTTCCTGCCCTGAAACTCTGGGTTTCACTGTCTGTCTAACTTCCCCATTGTTCCTCCCAGCTTATCTGTGTGGGATTGCCCCCACATTCCACTGCCTGGCTTTTCAGCATGTCTTCTCCACCCTGGTTGCCCAACACTGCCCCTCCAGCAGGCTGAATGAATGTTTCTTTAACTCCTTTGTCGTTGTACTTCCATGCAAATGACTTTCTGACAGTTCTAGTTGTTCTTTGTTTTTAAATTTGTTGTTATCATTCTTTTGGTTGTGTGAAGTAGTGATGCGTTCTTCTCTATGCCTCCATCTTCTAAAACACCAAGTTGTCTTAGTAATAAAATGAAGCACAAAGGAATCTGGATATATGATTTCACTACTTTATATTGATTATTTAGCCTTAGTATCACAGGCAGAAGCTCTGAAGGAAGAAAATGACAGCCTCCGTTGGCAGCTTGATGCATATCGGAATGAAGTAGAACTCCTTAAGCAAGAACAAGGTAAAGCCCACAGAGAAGATGACCCAAACAAGGAACAGCAGTTAAAACTCCTGCAACAAGCCTTGCAAGGGATGCAACAGGTAAAGCCATTTTGATTTCCTGAGCTTTCTGAAAGAATAGCATCAACTCCTCAAATAGCAAACCTCTTGTTCTTCTTGATGTTCTGTTATCTGGCGTAGATGAGGAAGAGATTATGTGTTGTGGGAAATGAAATAATCTTGTTAATACAGTGGTAGCAATGAATCACCATTGTTCAGAGAATGAGTATTAAATGGAGAATACTTAATGAAACTACACTGAAAATAATCTACTTTGGGATCTGGACAGAGCCTCAGAGTTCTTATGAAGAACCACAGGTACTTATATATGAAAAAATGCTGGTAAATAAGTATCTAGTCAATACAATGCTGAATAGTATAGCCTTTTAGAAGGAATTGCAGGAGTCCTGCCCTTAATCTGGATAGAAGCAGGGGTGTTATAGGTTTTTAAGTATCAATACTTTGGGCATATATTAATTTGCTTTTATATTTTTTTGTTATCACAGTCATTTATGTGAGCGAGCTTACCTGAACATTTTTCCAAGTATAAAAAGTAAACTAAATAAGTGCATCTAACTCATTGTGTAAACAACATTGTGTAATGGATGTTCAGTATCTAAAAGTTTCATGTAACCATCACCACAGTGAGCCTAGAATTTAAAATATATCAACAGCTGTTCTCATTTAATAAAGGAGTAGTAATTCTGAGTAACTGTACTATCTTCTTCTGTCTTGCTAGACTGCTGATCATTTTCCCTACAACTTAAATTGTGCAAGAATTTTTTAATTGTATGCCTTGGAATTTTCTAGAGCAAAGCTTATTGCTGGCACTAAGATCCATATTCCTATTACTAATGCTGTCATTGTCTTCCTGTGTGACAAGCAATATCACATTAAAATTTCACCTTTCCTATTGGCGAAATGTGTGAAGTGATGCTTACTTTTCTTTCACTGTCACCATGGAGTTTAATTAGAAAAAGTAAATTACATTAGAAATATTTGCAGCAAAAATTGCATACCCTCAGCTAGACTTCAAAGAATTTTGACAGTGTACATTGTACTGTGTCTTTTAGTCCTTCCAATGATCTTTTGCAAGTCTCTGAAAAGCAAGGCAATGGAAATATTTTCTTGTTGTTTTCCCCTCTTACCTTGATTTTGAAGCCATTCCATATAAATACAGTTCTGCAATTTAAATGCAGTTAAAATGTGGTGAACTTTTTTTTCATTTCATCACTTCAAAGACCTCATTGAGACAACTTAGTCTGTACCCCCTGAAAAATTAATTTACTCATTTTGATTACTTCTTATTGGAAAATAACTTTGTAAACAATGATACAATTTCACCTATAGAATCCCAAAAAGATGTATAGTCTAATATGGTGGTTATAAGCCTGGACTATGGAGTTGATGCAGTCCAGCTCTAAATCCCAGCTGTGCCACTGAACAACCTTAGGCAAACCACTAAACCTCTGTAAGCCTCAGGATTATGTATCATGGGATAATTGTGAAGCTTAAATGAGATCATGCATGTGAAACCCTTTGCCCAATGCTTGGCACATAGTATTTATTGAAATCATAAATAATGATAAATCTAGTTTCTTACCTAATGCTATAAAAACCATCATTTGTGAAATTTAGATTCTTTACTACTTTTCTCACATAAATTGAATTTCGCTTGTAAAATAGCTATCTACAAGGATGCTTTACAACAGTAAATTCAGTTTTATACAGCCATCAAGACATTGTTCACATGTTATTAACTATACCCTACCCTTACTCCTGGCTGGAATAGGAAGGTTAAGTGATTAGGTCATCAGGTTCTCAGACTCTTTCTAAAATGTGAACAAATACTAAGGAAGAGCCAAGTAAAATAACTTTAAGTGAAAAGTATCTTGATTTTCCCTTAATATCTCTGCATGGAGAAATGATTGTGTATGCTTGGGTAAAGTGAGGCAGGCCAGCCTAATATCTAATTTCAGCCAAGGTTTTTAATTGAAGTGTGTCTCCTTAAAACTTGATTGTCTTTGGTCTTTCTTGTAGCATCTACTCAAAGTCCAAGAGGAATACAAAAGGAAAGAAGCTGAACTTGAAAAAATCAAAGATGATAAGTTACATGTGGAAAAAATGTTGGAAAACCTTAAAGAAAAGGTACATGAGTTCAAGTGAACCTTTTACCTTACCCCTTTTCCCCCTTTTCAGTGACAATGAAAATGCCCAGGAAGTTGCTGCAAAAGGGAAAATGTTTGGAATGGTTGGCTGAATGGGGATTTAAAATCCCCACCTCCGTGGCAATTCTTGAATCAATGGCTTTGCTTTTAAGTGTGAGTCTTTTGCACTTCCAAGGGTTCTGAAGAGTGTACTTTTCAATGAATAAAATGTCAGTGCATCCCTAAAATTCTTCCCTCCTGGAGAAAATCAGAGTGTATACCTCATCTTGTCAAGACTAGAGTGTACACTTCATCTTGTCAAGCAAATAACAACATAGAAAACTCCTGTGACAGAGTACCTTTAATTAAGTATTTCATTAAAGGAAGAAACAGGGAGCAAGTAGAATGTTAACATTTTTTGTGGACACTCCATCTAGTTTAATAATGAGCAGCTGCAGGTGAAATGGCCAAAACTAAAAGAGGAGAAACCTTAGAAAGCAAACAATATTTTAAAGCTAGATGACAGCAACAGGGAAGGCAAGGTGGGATTTGGTCTCATGAGAACCTGCAGTGATAAGAAACATCAGTGAGGCCCTGACTGGTGTGGCCCAGTGGATTAAGCACCATCCTGAGAACCAAAGGGTCGCCACTTTAATTCCTGGTCAGGGCATATGCCTGGGTTGTGGGCCAGGTCCCCAGTAGGGGGCTCTCTAGAGGAAACCACACACTAATGTTTCTCTTCCTCTCTTCCCCTCTCTAAAAATAAATAAATAAATTATTCAAAAGAAAAAGAAACATCAGTGAGGACTTCTAAGAGAGAGTATTAACATCCGGATGGATTATTGTATCACAACCATGAATAGGGTGCCTGGTCTATTTAAGGATGTGTAAAGTCTATTGATGGTGTCTCCATCGTAACTCTCTAATTTCTTTTATGCCTGAAAATTCAACTGAAGTTATTCTCTGAAAAGGAAGGCCCAGTGTCCAGAACTGCCTGATTTTAATGTCTCAAAAAGAAGAGATTAGGATGTTACACCAAGAGCCAGAAATCAACAATGCTGCAGTTCCACAAAAGCTCATGCTTTTGATCTTATGTGCTCAGCTCAGGAAGATGCACTGCATACAAGTGCACTGGTTGCATATGCCAACAGAGTGACTTCCCCCAGAGTGCCATTAAGAACTGACAACCTTGGTGTAGTTGAAACAAATGATTGGAAGTTTTCTTCCAGAGACCATTTGCAATATGCTTTTAATTCTTCCACTCCATAAAACCAACTCACTTTCCAGTTTTGTGGGTGCTATTAAAGATACAAGCACAATTCCAGAGAATTTCATTTATCAAGATTTTAATTGAAAAGTGCCAAGGCTGTTCTATTTATCGGGACTTTCCTCGTAGTATAAGAGCTTCTAGAATGTCCCAGAGCTGCTACATTAGCTATTTCACTTCTTGCATAAAATGGAGTATGTAGCCAGAAAACTACAAATAGATGTGGGATTGTGCTAATGACATTATGCTTAAAATCACCCTTTAGGATGAACATCAAAAATTGACTTAAGGGCATTTTTAGTGTAAGGACATTTTTAGTGCTTTAGTGTAAGTAGCTTTCTGCTTTGTAAAGTATTTCATTTAAAGAAGCAAGAGGTCAAATGACATATGTGGAAGAAACTTGCCATAGTGTGCCTAAGTCTAAGTGTTTCCCATTCTGAAACTGAATATACCATGATATACCAACGAAAGAGGACAAGGAAAGAGACCCAACTGATAGGAAAATGTGAGTCAGAATATTTTTCTCTTATTTTAAGCAAAGCTGTTTTCAGAAAAAGTCATGACACTTCATTATAAACTTATCTTCTCTGGGAAGCTGATTTGTTACCAAATATTTCAAACTGACACAGTCAGGTTAGGAAGCAAAGTACCATCACATTAGACTACAAAAGTAATTTTGGTTTGAAAGGAAAGCAATACGTTTCAGTGAGGAGGAATCTTTTTTTGTTTTTGTTTAGGTTTCTTGACAGTAAACCAGTGTGACTTATTGTCAGAGTTTTGCAGTGTGACTTGTATCTGCCTTACTACAGAAAGAACTAGCTCTTTCAATCTGCTAATAAAATTCAAGGTGATAAGCATCCTTTCAATATACCTTCAATTTTTTTAAATGCTAGTTATGTAATAAAACTGAAATCAAGTTTCAATAAGGCCACATTTCTATTCAGGATGGCTAAAACTTCTCAGGATGTTTTCACATTTTAAATGACCTCAAATCTGTTAAACTGTCATACTTAAGAAATGGCTTACTAGATCATTTAATGTTTTAAGGAAGTTAGAAGCAGATGTACAGCCCATGATTTAGAAGTGAGCCGGTGGCCTAAATCAAACTTGACATGATAGTTACTTTCTGGATTGGATTCTAAAGGCCAAGGATTGAGTAGGTCATCAAGAATGGTTTCCCTTCTGACTGTAGCCAGGAAGCCTGTAAATCCAGAAAACAACATGTCTGGTAGCACAGACCATTCATTTTGTTCAGGGGCAGCTTCCTAGAAGCTTTGAAGACATCTTTAAAGAAAACAAAAGGAAACCTGTTTCTGCTGTAGGCTTGTGGAAGGGAAGAAGTGATAAAGCATCTGAGACAGGCAAGATGTGCCCCACCCTCCAGCATTTTCTTATACAATAGCAATGAGACTGAATCTGTGGCTTCATTTATTCCTCTTCTAAAGGCTTTGTCCTTTACATTTATAATACGGAAAAGATGTTCTTAGTGGCCAAAGAGAGAAAGAAAGATCCATGAAAAGTCTGGAGGTACTTTTCAATTTGATTCAATTTTATACTCAGGTCATGGATTTCATATGAGTATCTCTAGGAAACCTGCCTGTTATGCTCAGAAAGAGAAAACTTACAACAACATAGAAAGTGACTAATGATATTTTTGATCACGGCCATTTCTTGCTGTAAAGTCAGGAATATCCTAACTGATAACATCATTATGAGAGAGAAGAGACACAGAGAGAGTTGATAGTCAATAAATGGAGACATTAGGACTTCCGCCAAGATGGAGGCGAAGGTGGACACACTGTGCCTTCTCGCACAACCAGGTTTAAAAACAACAAAGTTTTAGCAACAAAAACACAGTCAAACCACAGAAAATTGAACTATGCGGAAGTATGACAACAACGAACCATTCAGCCAAACCTGCTGGCAGACCCAGCAGCAGAGCAGGGTCGGGCAGGAAATATACACCAGACCGACCCAGGTGTGCGACCCAGGCATACCAGCAGCCTTGGGCGGATCCCAGGTGTGGAGTAGCAGTGGACAGACCCACAGAGAGTGTAAGGCAGCGGACCCGCTGAGCACTGACCGTGGTCACACATTTGCACACAGATAAACCGGTGAAGGAGCAAGCAGTGAGACGGACCCGGCAGGCCCCAGCGGCAGGAAGCGGCAGAGGGGACCACCATTGTCCCTCTCTGACCCCGCCCCCACATACAGTATCACAAACCAGTGACCTGGGTGGCCCCACCCTGGTGAACACCTAAGGCTCCACTCCTCATACATAACGAGCACAAACAGATCAAAATATGGCCCAAGAACAACTCAGAGCCCCAGAGCCAATAAATGTAAGCGACGAAGAAATAGCCAAACTTTCAGATGCACAGTTCAAAATTCTGGTGATCAGGATGCTCACAGAACTGGTTGATTTTAGTCACAAATTAGAGGAACATATGAAGGCTAAACTAATTGAAATGAAGGGAAATACACAGGAAACCAATAGTAATGGAAAGGAAACTGGACTCAAATCAAAGGAGTGAACCAGAAGGAAGAAAAAAACTAACCAAACAGAAAAGGATGAAGAAACAAGAATTCAAAAAAATGAGGAGAGGCTTAGGAACCTTCAGGACATCTTTAAATGTTCCAACCTCCGAATTATAGGTGTACCAGAAGGGGAAGAGGAACAGCCACCAGTGGAAAACTTATTTGAACAAATAATAAGGGAGAACTTCCCCAATCTGGCAAAGGAAATAGAATTCCAGGAAATCCAGGAAGCTCAGAGAGTACCAAAGAAGTTGGACCCAAAAAGGAACACACCAAGGCACATCATCATTACATTAGCCAAGATTAAAATGAAGAAGAGAATCCTAGAAGCAGCAAGAGATAAGGGGACAGTCACCTACAAAGGAGTTCCCATCAGGCTGTCAGCTGATTTCTCAAAAGAGACCTTACAGGCAAGAAGGGGCTGGAAAGAGGTATTCCAAGTCAATGAAATCCAAAGACCTACAACCAAGATTAGTCTATCCAGCAAAGCTTTCATTTAGAATGGAAGGGCAGATAAAGTGCTTCTAACATAAGGTCAAATTCAAGGAGTTCATCATCACCAAGCCCTTATATATGAAATGTTAAAAGGACTTATCTAAGAAAAAGAAGGTAAAAAAGATGAACAGTGAAAAGACAGCAAACTCACACTTATTAACAACCACATCTAAAACAAAAGCAAACTAAGAGGTCATCTAGATCAGCAGCAGAACCATAGAAATGAAGATCACATGGAGGGTTAGTAACAGGGGAGTGGGAGGAGGAGAAGGGGGGAGAAGGTACAGAAAAATAAGTAGCAGAGACGGTAGGTAGAAAATAGATAGGGGAGGGCAAGAATAGTAGGGGAAATATAGAATCTAGAGAACTTGAGACGTGGTCATAAACTAAAGGGGGGACTGTGGGGGGGTGCAGGGTGGAGGGGAATGAAGGGGGGAAATAGAACAACTATAATGGCATAATCAATAAAATATATTTTTAAAAATAGAGATATTAAATTTTAGTTCAGAATCCAAAAGTTGACTGCCTACTAATGGATTAGCTAAATTTTAGATTCTTCATCCAGAAATGGGACTTGGCTTTAGCAGAATGTGGACCTAAAATAAAAAAAGAATGGTTTTTTTAATGGTGGATGGTTTGGAATGAAATCCAGTCTCTACCACTTCCTAGCAATGTGCTGTTAGGCAATTCACCAAATTTATCTGAACCTCACTTTTCTGATCTGTAGAACAGTGCCTGACATCTGGGAAACAGTAAATGTTGGGTCTGGTCTTCCAGATTACTAGTATAGAGTCAAGAATGATGAAGGTAGGAAATTAAAACTGGTGAAGATGAATGTCTATATTTTCTGTGTTAAGAATGCATAGTATAAAGAAGCTTTGTTTTATCTGGGATGTTTTTTGACTTACACTGTTTTCCTTCCTCCCATTCAATGACAAATTGTACAGTATTGTTTTTACTGTTCCCTGTTGTGTAATTGAAACCAAGCCTGTTACCAAATAAGGTGGACTGACCCAGGAAGCATATTATTCCCACAGGAAAACTGTGCTTCTAGACTGTGTGCATCAAGCCAGGATAGTGACTACCCTCTTGAGAAGACCCTGAACAGCAGTCCTATCAAATCTGAACGTGAAGCATTGCTAGTGGGTAAGGAAGCTAACAAACACATACAATATATAGAATGTAGTGCAGAGGAGGATGGTTTTGCCTAAGATGACTAGACACATGCCAAGAATTTATGAAGCATGACAGTGCAAGGACCCAGAGTCCTAAAGATAATGGGACAAGAACAAATACAAATTTCAATAAAAATGGTAACAGCCATTCCCAGCCCACTTCAAACTCCTTGTAGCCACTGCCACATCAAGTGTGAGAGTTTAAGGACTATGCTAAGAATGGGGTGCTAGAGAAATACACTGTAGATTTTAAAATTTGTATGCAAGGCTAGCTGACTCTTTCCCAGTCCCATTCAGTGGGCAGTACAGACACTGTTTGGCAGAGAGTTTCTCCAGATGACCCTCCACAGGAGTTGTGTGCCTCTCTTAAGTTTTCCAGGTTACTGGCAGATGACTCAGAAGGCTGTCTATAAGTGTTGGACACTAGGGGAGTCTGATGAAGTAAATGCTAGAATTGCTATCATTATTTAGAAATTCATTCACAGAAGCAATAACATAAATGGTTAAGGAATCAGACAGTACTGGCTTACCGTCTTGGCCCAACCATTTCCATCTTCTATCCTGAGCTTTAGTTCTTCTATCTGAAACAAAGGGCAACTATGAATATGAAACACAATAATTCATCTAAGTCACTTTACACAGTGCCTAGCCCATATTAAAACCTCGATAAATGTGAACCATTTTGCACTTACAGCTCTATTCACAAATGCTTATTGACTTTATATTCCATTTGGAGAACAGTGGCAGAATGAGATCCCAAAATATTTTATCATTTAAAAGGAGCTGACCTCAGCAGATAATCTTAGCTGCCTTCTAGGAAGCCGAGCCACACAGTAACCCCACCCCATCTCAAAAGTTCCTCACACTTACCAGCCTCTGCATATTTTTAAAATACATCTGCCTCTTTGGGTAATGGATACTGTACTCATATTTAACAATTTGATATGTTAATAAAGATGCACAAAGGGAATCTGCCATTGAATCTTCAAGAAAATTGACAACTTATTTCCATTTCCAACTCAAAGTTTTTTAATAAATTGGCAACTAGGAGACCTGTCAGAGAAGAGCTGGGGGCAGGAGGAAGCTTCTGTAAATGGATATTCTAGAAACAAAGACTATTAAGATAAGTATTTTTGATTTGTTTTTCTAAAGAAAGTAGTCTTGCACTGACAGAGAGAATGGAAAATATTTTTGAATTGTTTTTTTGGATATGAACCCACAAAAACTGCTTAGTGTTTTGAAACCTACAGAGTTGTTTGTTGACATCTGACAGATTATGTTGACCAAAGGATCTAGAATTCCTTTGAACACCAACTCTCTTCTTTAGAATTTAAGTTTCTTTGCTTGAGTCAGTATTTACAAATTCAATCTGCCTCATCATTTAATAATAAAGGAATGTTATAAGTAATAACATACATTTTGAACATATTTTGATCCCTATCATCAGTTCCTCCTAGATCCCCCAACCTGCCCCCTTGCCATATAACAAAAAACTGTTGAAGTTCATGCCACAATTTAAACTTGTGATATTCTTTGTCAGTCTGTAAAGGGACAGACAAGTTGTAACTTATGAACTAAATCATATTTAGCCTTTATTTCCTGGCAGTTCAGCAAACTCTATTTTAGGGCAGTTTGAGATACCTAAGATCTTATAAAAGAAGGTGAATTTAAAAAAAATTAAAGAAAGCCCTGGCTGGTGTGGCTCAGTGGATTGAGTGCCAACCTGTGAGCCAAAGGGTCACCTGTTTGATTCCCAGTCAGGGCACATACCTAGGTTGCAATCCACGTGCTTAGTTGGGGGCATGCCAGAGGCAACCTTTAAAAATGTAAATAAATTACTAGTAGACTTTTGAACAAAATTCTAGAACAATTAATCTGATGTCCAGAACAATCAAGGCAGTATGTGTAGCTGCCAGTCACCCCATAGTTATGCTGAGTAGAAATTATGACCATTCCTAGAAGCTGTAAACTGCTATGAGAATTCTGTTACTTGAAGAGATTCGGGGCTCTGAGCACAAACAAAATGCTAGTGACCACTTAAGTGAGACAAATGTTTGGCTATTCTTTATGGAGATGCTCACAGAGTAAAACTCAAATACAATCAGCAAATTCTCCCATGAGATGCACAAGATTAATCAGGCAAAGCACATGATTTGTACTTTTACCACTACAAGAAGACATTATTAATACAGAAGAGGCTAAAACCCAATTTAAAGACTGCGGAGGAACTAAACGTTTGTCAAGGAACATGTATCAAGGACCCATGGACAGAGCCAAAGTGGGGTAGGATTGATGCTAGGAGGTGGGGATGGCTGGGTGGGAGGGTGTGGTGAGGAGAAAATGGAGACAACTGTACTTGAACAACAGTAAAAAAACAGCACAATATAAAGTCATTGTAAAATTCTTAATTCATTGTAAAATGTAGAACTCAGATCATCTTTAGCCATCAAAAATGGTAGAAGTGACTCCTCAAATGCCAGCTTTTCTTCCTTTCTTTTTTATATATTTTTTATTATTTATGCTATTACAGTTGTCCCACATTTCCCCCTTTGCCACCATCCTCCCAGAACCCCCTTCCCTCAAATGCCAGCTTTTCTACATGTTATATAGTGTAGTGAGAAACAGTATGTCAAGAGCAATTGTCTGGGTTCAAATTGTCTGGGCCCTGCCACTTAGTATTTGTGTGACCTTGGGCAAGTGGCTTAAATTTTCTGTGCCTCAGTGTCTCTTCATCTATGAAAGAGGAATGGTAATACTTACCTCACAAGCCTATTGTAAAGATTACATGAATAAACTTAGAATAGTGTCCAGTACATAGTATGTTGCACATAATAAGTTAGCTTTTGCTATACATTGTCTATGTGGCATCTCAAAGAATACATTGCTCAAGTGTAACCTCCGTGGTATTGTCTCTACAGGGATTATCTCCACATTTCTTCATGTCCACCCATTTGGAGCAAGCATTGAATATATCTGTTCCTATCTGCACCGTCTAGACAGTAAGGTATGTGGGGACCTGAAATGGAATATAGGATTCTTTGTGGACAAGAGACCTTACTCTCCTCAAGCATAGATCACTCATTAATAACTGCTCTAAGGAAATGTCCTTCACCTGTTCTTTCACTGTGATTCAATGTAGAGCTTCTCTTTTGTAAGTATGATGACTATCTGTCCCCATTTGCCTAAGACTGAGGGATTTCCTGGGATTTGGGAATTCCAGTGCTAAAACCAGGGAAGTCCAAGGCCAACCTCAGTGAGTTAGCCACCCTAGTTACAAGATACATCTTAGAAGAATTTCACTCCTTTCTCTTAATTCACATATAGGCTGTAAATTAACCGATATATTACACAAATCAATCTCTTACCCTGGCCCTTTAATAATTAACAAATGTTAATTTTGCAAGTTGGAGTCTTACTGCAACCACCTCCCCAACATCACCATCACCACAGCCATTATCTATGATGAAATTCTCAAGGCTGGGACAAAAAATAATAACAACAACAACAATAAGTCTGTAACACAGGCTGAATATTTGCTTACAGTTGATCTCATGAGCCTCTTCCTTCCCTGGATAATATCCTGTGGAGGAACTCACAAAGCATCAAGAGCAAGGATAAGTGCTAGTTTCCTAGAAAGTCAAGGGTGCCTCATTCAAGGAGGAAAGAACTCTTGATCCTTTAGAGTAAATAAACTCATGATAGATATTTTTCATAAGCAGCATTCATTAAACCTGCTCATGGATTGTATTCACTATTTCACAGGATCTGAGCCATTTGAGAAGTACTATTGAGTCTTGTGCAGCTGGATTACAAAATGTTAAGCCATTCAAACATATGTCCTTTTAACAGAAGTACTGGCCCATTTGGGAATCCAGCTATTGTGATATATTCTCATGGCATTTGTTTCAGTTCTAGCTGCCACTTCCTCCTCATTTATCTGTGTGAAATGATGCTGTTCTGCAATTAAATGGCACATTTGGTAGTGAAAGAAGGAGTGGAATGTGAGCGCCAGGACCAAGTGGTCAGTTGAAGTGGTATAAATTGAACTACATATCAGTAAAAATGTTCTGGTTATTTTTTAAAATTATAAAAATAATACATGCATATTATCTAAAAATGTAAGTCATATAGAAAGAAGTATTGCAAAGGGAAAGTTATAACCCCACCCCTCAATGATAACTACTGTAAACAGTTTGGCATATCTTTATTTCAGACTCTTTTCTATACATATGTTGCATCTAGATCATATGTATATATCAGTAAACATTGCACATTTATGTTTTTGAAATGAGGATTCAACTCTATATCATACTCTGCAATGTGATTTCACTTAACTGGAATACATTCTTACTACTAGTAACACAAGCACTGGAAAGAAAACTTGATCTCCCTCCTCGTCCAGGCCCAGTTTCTCCTGAGCAGCTTCCTGCCAGAGTAGTGCCAGGACCTCACAAGGAGAGCCTACAAGTGGTACCAACAGAAATGAGGAGGAATATTCAGTGTGGTGGCAATTCAGAGTTTCTTTCTTTCTTTTTTTTTAGATTTTATTTATTTATGTTTAGAGGGGAAGGGAAGGAGAGAGGGAGAGAAATATCAATGTATGGTTGCCTCTCATGGGTCCCCTGCTGGGAACTGGCCTACAACCCAGGCATGTGCCCTGACTGGGTATCGAACCATGATACTCTGGTTCGCAGGCCCACACTCAGTCCACTGAGCTATGCCAGCCAGGGCCAATTCAGGGTTTCTGTAAGGATTCCCCAGTGCTCTTCTGTCAAGATCTAGTGCCCGGGTTCACAGTACAAAGGTTTCTACTAACATAAAGATGACCACCTGAAGCAATCCTTAAAGGGATCCACAGATTTGTTTTTGTATTGCTGTGAGTGAATGCATGTGTGTATATATACACATGTGTGATCGTGTGTGTGTGTGAGAGAGAGAGAGAAGAGGGAGATAATGCAAAGAAGTAGGAATCAGAGCATTCCTTAATCCCATTAGTTTTCTTTTGTGAACTAATGAGTGTGTGGAGAATTCTGGTCTGGTGGCAGGCTTTTCTGCCTCACTCCCTTCCCAAAAGGTTTTGCAGATTCAGTAGATCTACACATAGCATTGCCAGCACTGATCCAGGGTCATTCAGCTGGCTACAAACCCAAGCCTCTCCACATGACTAGCTCTTTCCAATAAAAAACTCAGAAGTAGAAAACAGTTTGGAGGTTCCTGAAAAAAATTTAAAATAGAACTGCCATATGACCCAGTAGTTCCACTTCTGAGAATATATCTAAAGAATCCCAAAAAACTAATCAGAACAAATACACGCACCCCTATATTCACTGCAGTGTTGTTTACAATAGCCAAAATATGGAAACAGCTCAAGTGTCCATCAGTAGATTGGTGGATAAAACAACTAAGGTACATTTACACAATGGAGTACTACTATACCATAAAAAAGAATGAATTCTTGCCCTCGCTGGGTGGCTCAGTTAATTAGAACATTGTCCCATACACCAAAATGTGGTGGGTTCAGTTTCCAGTCAGGGCACATACCTGGGTTGTAGGTTTTATTTCCAGTCACAGCATGTGTGAGTACAGCAACCAATCATGATTCTCTCTTATACCTCTCTCTCTCTGTCTCTCTCTGTCTTTCTCTGTCTCTGCCTCTATCTTTCTCTCCCCTTTCTCTCTCTCTAAAATCAATAAATATATCCTTGAATGAAGATTAAAAGTAATTAATTCTGTTCAATTTCCAGTCAAGGCACATGCCTGGGTTGCAGGCCAGGTCCCAGTGGGGGCCATGTGAAAGGCAACCACACATTGATGTTTCCCTCTCTCCTTCTCCCTCCTTTTCCCTCTCTCTAAAAATAAATAAATAAAATCTTTTTAAAAAGCAGTGAATTATTACCATATGCAACAGCATGGATGGACTTAAAGGATATTACACTAATTGAAGTTAGACAGAGAAAGCCAGATACCATATGATTTCACTTCGTGTGGAATCTAAAAAACAATATAAATAAACAGAAACAGATTCATACATGCAGAGAACAGACTGATGAATGCCAGAGGGGAAGGGGATAGGCACCTGGGTGAAATAGGTGAAGTGATTAAGAAATAATAATTGATAGTTACAAAATAGTCAACATAGGGAATATAGTCAATAGCATTGTGATAATTAAGTATGGTGCCAGGTGGGTACTGGAAATATCAGGGAGATCACTTTGTGAAGTATATGATTGTCTAGCCACTATGCTGTACACCTGAAAATAACAAAATAATACAAAGTAATGTGTAAACTGTAATAAAAAATTAAATTTAAAATGGTTATGCAATTAGCATTTTAATAAATTTTATTAACATAAAAAGGAATAGTAAATAAATCTCATAAAAAAGAAAGAAACCTCAGTGTTGATCAATCTCAAAAACAGCATTTTAAACAAAGAAACAAGTGACAAATAACTATGTTGTATATTTATACATGTATGAAATTTTCAGAAAATGCAAAACCACAGTGAAAAAAATATGACTCAGGGATTGGAAGTGAGGATTGAATGCAAAGGGGCACAAAGGAACTTTTTTGAGGTGATGGAATGTTCTAAAATTGAATTGTGATGATGGTTGTAAAATTGAATACATTTACTAAATTTGTACAGTAAGTTAACTAAAACTCATCAACATGTCAAATAAGTGAACTTATTATATGTAAATTATACTTAAATAAAGCAGTTGTAAAATATATAAACAAAAAGAAAGAACAGTGGACTCTGTCTAGTGATCACAACATAAGAAGGCTGCCATCTGGAAGCCACTCACCCAACACATACACATGCAGGAAGAGGGAAAAGAGGTCAACTCCACCCTCTAAATGCATCAGTATCCTAAAGTAGGCAATGTTGGGGGAGAAAGAGCCACATGAGGAAGGTGAGACTGGTTTTGAATGGAGTTGTCCTCTCTGTCCCACAGATCTGCACCAGTGATGTGGAATGTCTCATGAGCAGACTTCAGTATACCTTCAAACAAGAAATGACTGGAGTTGGAGCTAGTCTGGAGAAGAGATGGAAATTCTGTGGCTTTGAGGGATTGAAACTGACCTGAATCCATCTGCCTAACAACCTGGGATCCCTAAAATAAATGTGTGTTGGAAAAGCTTAGAAAGTGATTTCTATTTTCAATGGTTTCCAAGTGAAAATTGATTTAAATTGTTCAGTTCATTCCTGACATCTATTTTGATGTAAAACAAGGATCCTACAGCACCTTGAGCTACAGGCCCTAAAAAAAATTGACTCAAACCTCAAGTGCTGTAACTTCCTCCCTTTTTGTCCATTGATTGTCTTTGTTTTTATTAGTAGTATTGAAAAAAGCCTGATTCTAAAGAGTATTTGGAGTGTTTTCAGTGTTTGTGTTACAGTGTCTGTAGACTTTGGTATTTTTAAAAACACCGTTAACTGAAATATTTTGATTTGTGTGTGACTTGTGTTTCAAAATTTCTCTTCATGTTAGTGTTGCTGCAGGTGAAAGGAGTGTGAGGAGCTCTAGCTACTTCATAACTGACATCTTTCCAATCCCTAGTAAGTGGATAACACATCAGTGTCTTCTGGAAGGTGTTTGACCAAGCACACCTTTTAAAAGACAAAGCATGATTTGTGGCTTTTACAAAATTACTGTGAAGCAAAAGTTGACAACTGTTCCAAACTTATTTTCTCTCATATATCAGACAAAAAGTTTATTTCAGAATATAAAAAGGTCTAGATATATGTGCAGGATACAAGTGTCCAGTATGACTGGCATATGTACGTGCTATTCAGAATCACCTTGTAAATAGTCTGCTTTTAAAGGAGGGCATGTTTAGTTTTCTAAGAATTAAAACACATGTGTGCATTGTGTACATGTGCACACACACATTAGCAAAAGGGATTTATTTTAATATGTTTCCCACCCGGCCTTCTTACAACATCTGTTGGTCCCTTTTCTTCTGCTGTCAGTGTGTTGAATTGCTAACCATGTACTGCTGTAAATGTTACGTTTACTTCATGTTGAATATTTGCAAAGAGTTGATATGAGTATTAATAGAAAACTGTTGGTGATGAATAAATAATGGGCCAGGTTGTGTGAGGCTTCCTGCAAACACGTTAGTTCCACCTGGAGTGCCAGGGACACCTTCAGATTGCAATGGCAGTGTGGGTGGACCAGTCATGAGGTCCTTCTTGATGGGAGAAAAAGGGAAACAATGAGGATTTGAGGCTAATACCCTGAGGTAGAGATGATCTTTTCTTTTGTAGTGTTGGTGGTGCTTGTAATAATACAAGTGTGCCCTCCTTTGAGTCTCGATTCAAAATAACTGAATATACTAAGTAAGCAAAGCTGATGAACAGTATTTCAGGAAAATGCTTTGTAAATGGGATGTCAGTAGTGTTCAAAGTTGTATTTTTAAAAGATAAATATTCATTTTTATACCTCAATTTGGTGTTCTGTTTTGAATTACTTGCTCTCTAAGTAATCCTTCAGTAAATCATCTCAGCTTCTTCCTTTCAGTTACCAGGATGTTGTAAGAACATGCTAAACCATCTGTCTTGACAACTAGAAATAGGGTTCCATGGCAGCACATTCATGCTGAAAGCTGGCTTTCCTTAAGCACCCAGCTGTGGCACCAGCAGGAAGCTGGGGTTATTTTTACACTAGCTGCTTCACTGAAGCATCTCTGCCATCAACACTACAGAAGGATTTGATTCATCTGTTTAAGAGGTCCTAGAATGTATTATTTTAACAATATTAAGAAAATCAAGGGAAATTTGCCACTAATGAACTATATCTTCTTTAAATAAGTTAAATAAAATGAAATTTTAAAGCTACAACTGCCACAACCAAGCCCCTTGCTCTCCTTCACTTAATCTATTTGTACTATAAATGGTCTCTTGCTAGTATTTCTGCCAATTTAGTACAGGTATACGTACTTCAGCCTGCTTACATGTACTAGTCATGATGGTTAATTTTGTGAGTCAACTTGGCTAGGCAATAGTGCCCAGTAGCTTGGTCAAACACCAGTCTAGATGTTGCTGGGAAGGTATTTTTGAGATATAATTAACACTGAAACCAGCAGACTTTTAGTACAGCAAACTACCATATTTTGCCATATAACATGCACACTTTTAGCTCACATTTTTGAGGGAAAAAGAAGGATTTGCATTATACATGGATAGCGATCACATACCATAATTCCATGTATAATGCGCACAAATGTGTGTGTACATTATACATGACAAAATGATATCCTTCATAAAGTAATTGGGTCTCATCCAATCAATAAGAGGCCTTAAGAGAAAAGATTGAAGTCTTCTGAGGAGAAAGTAATTGCTACTCCAGATTGACTTTGGACTAAAGACTGCAGCATTAACATCTGCCAGAATGATTTGCAGACCACTGGCCAGCCCAACAAATTTCAAATTTGCCAATCCCCATAATCACATGAGCCAATTCCTTAAAATAAATCTCTCATGTGTGCTTATGCACACACACATACACACATCTCATTGGTTCTGTTTCTTTGGAGAATCCTGACAAATATACTAGTTCAGAGTAGTTATAATATGTAAAAATAGGATGTTTGGATTATATTACATATTCAAATTGTAATACATACCATCTCCCACAAAACTTTCAACATAGAAATCTATTAATGAAGCTATTTTTTCTTACCAAATGCTCAGTGCTTTTATTGTTTTGTTATTCATACTGAATTTTGAAATATTACTGTTTTGCTATTTTTAGGTGATACAGTAGTTAGATTTTCCCAGATACTAATGAATAGAAGCATTTTTTATGTTACAAATATTTCTTTCATCTCCCTACTGAGTCCTATAACATCTCCAATTCTTATTTTTTATATCACCAAGTTTCTTGTTAAATGCCTTTGATGCAAATGAAAAAAGTTAGTTTACAGAGAAAATTATACACATATCTGTATTCAAGTTACATAAAGTTTTATTTCAATTAGGCTCAATAATGTACACTTTTCATATAATGCAAAATAAACTGTATTACTTGAAAAGACAGCATAGATGTGCAGGACCTTTTGACTCACCTGGTAGAGCTGGGTGAGCCCTTGAGATTCTTTTAGTTGTCTTGGACAGTCCATCAAATAGACCTGGATTCACTTTTCACAATAATTGCTAGTATCTGCTGAGCTCCTATTCTCTCATTCTGCCCAAAGTTACTTTATGCATGTATACCTTTAGACAAGTTATATAAACACAAGAGGATTTCAATTTCCTAGTTGCTAAAATTAAGGAAAAACAGTACCTCAGACAGTGGTGGTAAAGATTCAATGAGATTGCATCTATAAATTGCCTGACCACTTCCTAGCCCACAGTGAGTTCCAAATAAAGAGTTATGATTATGATTCAGTCAAAAGTATAATAATTATAAGTACCTTCATTTTAAGAAAAAATGTTTTTCCGTTCACAACTAGAATTGTAGAGCTACATCATGTTGCTGGGCTTTAAGAAAGGAAAGTCAAAGGGCACATGCCTGGGTTGCAGGCCAGTTCCCAGCAGAGGATGCATGAGAGGCAACCATACATTGATGTTTCTCTCCCTCTCTCTTTCCCTTCCCCTCTAATGATAAAATAAATAAAATATTAAAAAAAGAAAAGAAAAGAAAGTCAACTGTTCAAACATATTCTAAACATTTACTCAGTATCAGGTACTGTGCCAGGCACTGTGGAAGTATGGCTGGCTCATGCCCTCAAAAGAGCTAGAAGGATAGGTTTTAACACACTGAACTTAAATCCTTCATGCTTTAGGTAAGACCATAAAAGCTCAGCATGAAAATATTTAGCATTGAACAACCATGAATGGTGTAGATAATGTGATAATGACAATTGCTTTCGAGACCTGAATTATTACTCTCTACGCCCTCCCCCACCTAGTCTCAGAGGGTAAGTTCCACAAGAGTGTGGTCTTTGTCTTGGGTATTATAGGTGCTCAGTAAATATTTGTTAAGTGGATATTTGTGTAGCACTCCACACAAATGACATTCATATACACTAATAATAAAGGCTAATATTGATTAATAACTCCTATCTGCCAGTAAATATATAGATTCCTTTGTTTTTCCTATAACTGTGAAAAGTATATAGTATTGGATATTATCCTGTTTCAGCTGAATCTCTGAGATGTAAACTAACTTGTTTAAGTTTCTAAAAGACAGAGATGAGATTTGAATCTTGGTCTGTCCAACTGCAAACTGAAAACTTTCTACTGTTCCATCTTTTTTTATCATTTAATTGTTATTCTCTTACAGTTGTTCCAATTCCCCCCTTTACCCATTTCTGCCCATCCCAGCCCCTGCTCCCACAGTCAGTCCCCACCCTGTTGTCCATGTCCATGGGTCATGCATACATGTTCTTTGTCTAGTCCCTTCCATTTCTCTCCACCATTCCCCACCCCCCACCCTTCTGGTCACTGTCAGTCTTTTCCATATTTCCTTGCCTGTGGTTCTAGTTTGTTCACTAGTTTATTTTGTTCATTAAATTTCTCTTATTGGTAAGATCATATGCTCCATCTTCTATGGAACATTGGTATTAACCTAATTGGTATTATTATAAACCCCACATTTTTCAATACATGCCATTATAGAGCACCTGATATGTATAAGTCTTGGTCCTAGAAATTTAAAGAGGAATAAAACATGACCTCTTCCCTCAAGAGTTTACACTCTGGTGGGGATACCTGCTAAAAGATAGTCATGTATAAGCGCCGCAAGAGGACATCATGGAAGGCTTCAAAAAATTTAGGAAGCTTGAAACATGTTAAGAGAAAGCAGGCTCAGAAAGTTAAATGTGCTTGCCTGAGGCACACAACCACTATGTGACAAAGCTCAGGATTTGAACCCAAATATTCCTGGCTTTAATTCACGCCTTTTCTTTTATACCATGGTGCTCAAGGTCACTTTGTAACACTGTCATTTCCCACGAAGGTTTATTTATGAGGCTTTGCTCAGTGTCAAGTACCCAGTAATAACTATGCCTGGCAAAATAAGTGCTTAATAGATAGCTATAATTATTATTCAACTAATACTCATATTAATAATGCTTTAATGATAGCAGAGCTACCCATCCAGTAATGGGGATTCCATAGGCCACATAGTAACTTAAAAGAAGAATGATACCTACTGGCTCAGAGAAATTCAGAACTTACTGAACAGTTCTCCATCAGAGGTAAGTAATGTATGGTCCAAGGCTGACATAGGGAAGGAACTTCCTTTTGCTGTGTCATGATATAGTCTCCAGTATCTTTCCATTTTACCCCCTCCAATCATAGGACAAACTACATCACATTAACAAGAAAGCCAGAGGGGCCTTATCTTCTCTCTCATATCCCAAGATTGATAGCATCATTCCATTTTTTCAACTTGGCAGAAAGCTTTGAATATCTTAGCTTGCCTAAATGCTCTATCTGGGTGAATGGTCTCAAAGGCATACTGAAGCAATTACTTGCAGCAAAAGAAGTAAGGAAAAGGAATTGATTGCACACAAAAGTTAAGAGTATTCAAGGATATAGAGCATTATGGAGATGATCACATATTGTGTGAAAAATGGGATACAGGACACATTAACGAGTGTTCTACCTAACTGCATTCAATCCAAGTCTGTATGAATATTAGACTACCTTAAAATTAATCATCCTTTGGAGCATAAGACCCCTGCAATCTTAACTCATTAATATTCCTCTACAAATATATTGTGTTTAAAGGGTTTTCACAGCAACTCTGTACACAGTCATTATGTTGTCTGATCTTCACAACACCCAGTGAGCCAGCAGGGACAGGTGGTTCCTTCACCATTACTGCAGATAAGGAAGACAAGTCTCAGAAGGATAAAGACCCATACCGTAGGTCACACAGCTAAGTGGATAGTGAAACCAAGGTGAGAATGCAGAACTTCTGAGTCCTCCCAATTTCCATCTACTTCACCAGCCTCTGCCTAGTAGGACAGAGAGAATGTAAAGTAGGAGTTCTTGATAATTTTTGGTGTCACGGACCCCTTGGGAAGTCTGGTGAAGCCTGTGAACTTCTTATTAGAATAACATTTTTATTTTAATTTTAATTTTTTCAATTATAGTTGACATACAATATTATATTGGTCCCAGGTGTACAATATGGCGATTAGACATTTATGTAATTTACAAAGTGATCATCCTGATAAATCTAGTACCCACCTGGCACCATACATAGTTATTCCAATACTATTGACTGTATTCCCTATGCTGTACTTTACATCCCTTTAACTATTCTGTAACTGCTAATTTCCAGTTCTCAATCTCTTCACCTTTTCTACCTAGCTTCCCAGTCTCTCTCCCATCTGGCAACCATGAGTTTGTTCTCTTTATCTATGATTCTGTGTTATCAGAATAACATTTTTAATGCATGAAATTAAATACAAAGGCAATCAACTATATTAAAGTGATACACTTATCCAAACACATTTGTGATATAATAACATGTGCTCCTTTAACACATTAAATAGCAATATGTAATGACAGGTCTAACGACTACTATAATTTTTAAGTAGTGATAAGCACTTCAAGAAATCTCCAATAACTGTGGTACAATTGTATCTGTGATACTGGTTTTTAAAAAGTCACAGTTACTACCAATACCTTCATACTTTGTTGCCTATATTTAAAGTGAAATGAAATGCTAATTTTTCCCTCTAACTTTACATACTTCTTAAATTCTCCCTGCAGCCTCTGGCTAAAAACCCCTGAGAAGAGGTTGATAAAATGTAAGGTGAGAAGCCTCAAAATGAGGCCAGGATTAATTTTATTAAATACATTGATATTTATACATTACTTACAACAGTGCCCAATCACATAGTAACCTGTATGTGTTTATTAAATATAAATATATATAAGCAATAAATTTTATAAATGATAAAGATACAGATTCTTTGCATACTTTGAAACTGAAATTCTAAGTCAATGTATAAATGCCAGAAGCGCCCCTCAAGCCTGAATTTCTGGGTGAAGAAGTGACAGATGAGCTTTAATGTGAGCAAATGCAAAGTACTGCTTTTAGGAGAAAATGAGCCAAAACTTCATAAGATGTTAGTCTCCAAACCATCAGTTCTGACACAGGAAAGGGATCTTTGAATTGTTGGAGAGAAGTTTCTGAAGATATCTGTCCAATGTATAGCTGGAATTATAAAAAAGAAACAAATTCCAAACACAGTTTAAAAAAATAGAAACAAAATACAAGACATCATCTTACCCCTTTTTTAATATTTTATTTATTTATTTGGGGAGAGGGGAAGGGAGGGAGAAATAGAGGAAGAGAAACAACAACATGTGGTTACCTCTCATGTGGCCCCCACTGGGGACCCGGCCCACAACCCAGGTATGTGCCCTGATGGGGAATCAAACCAGCAACCCTTTGGTTTGTAGGCCCATGCTCAATCCACTTAGCTACACCAGTCAGGGCCTTATCCTCTTTTTACAAAGTTTTGGCCCTGTCTGAAGTGCCTCAGTGGATTGAGTGACCATCTGCAAACCAAAGGGTCATCATCGATTCCTCATCAGGGCACATGTGTGGGTTGCAGGCCAGGTCTCCTGTAGGGGGAGCGTGAGTGACAACCACACATTGATGTTTCTCTCCC